TTTTCCAGGAATAGTTGCAGTGTAAGAACAGCATACACACAATAACCAAAATATATGAATTATCTCATTTTTCTGGATGCTGAACAAATTCTATGATCACTAAGAAGCTAAATATAACAGGACATAAAGAGAAATAACTCGGGTCCATCCATTGGATGTGTGTTGATGGTAGGAAAGAAAGTTCCTATTGTACAAAAGTTTTGGCAGAATTCTGTGGCTTTATAACAAAATCTTAGTCTTTATAGCTATCTCTATTTTAATTAAGCAGAATCAAACTATTTACCTTCCAAAACAGTCCTTTTAAGGTAGGCACAAACAGATAATGATGAATTTCATAGAACTGGATTTAATGACAACAGGAGGATGGAGCAATATTTCGTCCTGACAGCCTAGTACTGATAGAGGATACCACTAAAGATGAAGCAAAACCACTCCCTACCCCATCTGCCTAACCTACCTTCCAATAAAGAACAGAAGAAAATAAACAAACAAAAAAACCAAAAGAATTCTGGCATGCCAGTCCCACTTTATACCTTAATTCTTAAAACATAAGAGTGGGAATAAGAGAGGGAAGAGATGTATAATTTGGGGCATGCTCGGGCTGACTTGCCCCAATTGGTAGAGTTGGAAACATACCAGGGGATTCCAATTCAATCCCATCAAGGTGGCATGTGCCAATGCCATCTCACTACTCCAAGTGATCAATTTCAGTTCACAATTGATCATAATGAAAGGACTAAGAGTCAAAGGGAGCACATAAACAAGTCTAGTATCTGCTAACACCAACCGATAGAATAAATAAAGGGGAGAGTGATCCAACATGGGAAGTGAGATACTCAGCAGACTCATAGAATGGCGGATGTCCTAAATAGCACTCTGGCCTCAGAATCAGCCCTAAAGGCACTCGGATCTGGCTGAAAAGCCCATGAGAGTATTTCAGGCATGGAAAGCCAAGACACTCTGGCAAAAAGATCTCTGTGAGTGAGATCCCAGTGGAAAGAACAGGTCTTCAAAGAGGGAGGTGCCTTTCTCTGAAGGGAGGAGAGAACCTCCACTTTGACTATGACCGTGTCTAAACAAGATAAGAGTCGGAGAACTCAAGGGGCTTCCATAGCCTTGGAAACTCATAACGGGTGCATAGGGAGATTACTGATGCCATAAACAGGAGTGTCAATTGGTAAAGTCAACAACAAGAGTCACTGTGCACTTACTCCTCATGTAAGATCTCTGTCCTTAACGTGCTGTACACTGAGGCTTAATGCTATAACGAGTACTCAAACAGTATATTTCACTTTGTGTTTCTATGGGGGTGCAAACGACTGAAATCTTTACTTAATGTACACTAAACTGATCTTCTGTAAAAAAAAAAAAAAAAAAAAAAAAAAGAAAGAAATTATCAATTCCCAACTTGACTCTCACTGGGATTAAACATGACAATAGGTCTGATCTGATTTCATCATCATTTAAAAAAAATCATCTATTATTTTTCACTTTATGTTTCTGTGTGGGAGCAAACTGTTGAAATACTTACTTAAGGTATACTAAGCTGATCTTCTGTATATTAAGATAATCGAAAATGAATCTTGATGTGAATGGAAGGGGAGAGGGAGTGGGAAAGGGGAGGGTTGTGGGTGGGAGGGACGGTATGGGGGGGAAGCCATTGTAACACATGAGTCGTACTTTGGAAATTTATATTCATTAAATAAAAGATTAAAAAAAAACACAGTAATTTCTGAGACATTTTCAAATTAATGCTAGTATTTTGAATCAGCAATTTAATTTTAAGAATAGTTCATAAAGGAAATTAGTTTTTCAGAAAATGGGCTTCATGAGATTAAGGGATCTTTTGGCTGATAATTTTGGCCAAGTTGCTTTCCCGTCTTTTCACTCTTAGGTAATGTAAAATGTATTCAGTCAGTAATGCACAACATCTATTGAGGCTGGAACAGTGTCCTATTCCTAAAGTATGGAATATGTATTTGTTTCAAGTGGAACTTAATCCATAGGCCATCTCTGATTTATTATTCATTCCACATTGTCTAGATTTGACTGAATCAATTATCTTTGTCTTTCATGTATATGTATGTGTTTATAGAATTAATACATGGACTTGAATACACAAAGCATTCACTTCCATGTAATGTCATCCATTTCAATGAGTTGTTGGTATACATTTTAATGTTCTAAATGTTCTACACTCTCAGCCAATATAAGCAAGTGAGGCAGGAACATGTTTTCCCTTGGGGAAAGGGCACCATTGGGCAAATGAATGCTCTGTCATTCATTCCAGACAGATGTTTATAGTCTCCTTCAGCTCGGAAATCCTGCTGTTTTTTCAGTCTTCTTTGAAGAGTGAACCAGTGGATAGGCCCTCTCTCTCTCTCTCACTCTCTCTCTTCCTCTCTCAAAAGAAAGGAAGGAACCCTGTATGCTTTAACTCTCACTTCCTACTCTCTCAACCCTAAATGATCACCAGTCTACTTTCCATGTCTATAGTCTCCCATTCTGGAATTTCATATGAATGAAATAATATAATACATGAAGTGTTCTGACTTCTTTCCCTAGAATACTGCTTTTCAGTTTGATCTAAGTTGTAGCATACATTAGTACCTCATTACTCTATAGCTGAATAATACTTTATCACTGAATATACATTTTGTTTGTTCATTTGTTCACCGATGCAGAGTTGAGTTGTTTCAACCTTCTATTTTGAATAATACTTCTATAGACTGTTCTGTGCAAGTTTTGTCTGGACGCAAGGTTTCATTTCTCCTGAGTATAGACCTAGGAGTAGAATGATGGAGCTCTATGGTAACTCTGTGATTACTTTTTTTTGAAGATTTATTTATTGATTTGAAAGGCAGTTAGAGAGAGAGAGAGAATATCATACTCTTCACTCCCTTCACTCTCCAGATGGCTGCGACAGTCAGGACTGGGCTGGGCTGATGCTAGGAGCTTCTTCTGAGTATCCCACATGGGTACAGGGGCCCAAGCAGTTGGGCCACCTTCCACTGCTTTCTCAGGCCATTAGCAGCGAGCTGGCTTGGAAGTGGAGCAGCTGGCACTTGAACTGATGCCCATATGGGATGCCAATGTCCCAGGTAAGGTCCTAACCCACTACACCAAAAGGTCGGCCCCAACTCTGCTTACTTGTTTGAGAAAGAGCCTGACTGTTTTCCAAGTTGGCTGCATCATTTTACCTTCCCAGCAGCAGTGCAGAGGGTTCCTATTCTGCATGCCCTCACCTGATTTTAACATTAAACAGTCCTTTGCTGAGGAGGGTAGAGTAGAACACCCCACCAGGCAACACACTGGTGATCGTGCACTCCACCAACTCCTATCCCAGTCTACCCACTGTGATTTACAGCATCTGTGGATAGTAGCCAAACAAACTTCCTAAGACAATTAGTCCTTTAAGAACATCTTCAACTTGGGAAACTCAGAAAAAAAAAAAAAAGTTGACTAAAAAATTCCTTGTCATCCTGTTGCATGCTGGGAAAATGCCCCTTCTTTCTTTCTTTCTAATTTCAGATCCCACCACTCGGTAGCCATTCTTTGCAGAAACTGTTTTAGCTTCTCATGAGCATCTTGTGCCTGTTCTGCGAGACTGAAACAACCTGATGATACCCTGCAGATGGACAAGTCGTTAAACAGAAAGGAAGAGCGCTTGGGTTGCAGAACGAGCAATAACTTATTGCTTCCTTCCTCAAATATTGTACTAAGTGTTAGAACAAAATTGAGAGCGATGGAAAGTTGGTTAACATTTTCTCTTCAGCCCTGTGGGAGTCCAGGGGATGTCAGTGTCACGTTGCCCAGGCAGGGCTCCCCTCACACACTTGGTTATGTCTCCACATTGAGTCTGACTGTTACCGGGAGAGGTGTTACAGTCAAAGCCGACCTTTCCACCTTTGCCTTTGGAAAAGTAGAAGGAAACTCGAGGAATAACAAAAATTGGCTTTTCCACTCACTCTCCCAGTGCTTTTCCCCCGCATGATCTGCATGTTGAGGGGGTACTTTGAACACACAGGGTTGGTATTCTTCTGGATCTCTTGTAACAAATGTCAGTATCTGCCTTGAAGTCAGCCTTGGATAAATGGGGCTTCTGACACATTTTCATGTAACCAGTGGAACACTGCTGGTGGAAAGGAGACCGTTACTGAGCCAGGAAATACTGTTTTTCCTGTGTGTTTTCTACTCCTTTCTTAGCGTTTCATTTAGCCAACATTTGTTGAGTACTAACTGTGTTAGAAATAGCACTTCAAGGCCGGCGCCAGGGCTCACTAGGCTAATCCTCCGCCTTGCGGCACCGGCACACTGGGTTCTAGTCCCGGTCGGGCCGCCGGATTCTGTCCTGGTTGCCCTCTTCCAGGCCAGCTCTCTGCTGTGGCCAGGGAGTGCAGTGGAGGATGGCCCAAGTGCTTGGGCCCTGCACCCCATGGGAGACCAGGATAAGTACCTGGCTCCTGCCATCAGATCAGTGCGGTGCACCGTTCGCAACGCGCTGGCTGCGGCGGCCATTGGAGGGTGAACGAACGGCAAAGGAAGACCTTTCTCTCTGTCTCTCTCACTGTCCACCCTGCCTGTCAAAAATAAAAAATAATAAAAAAAGAAATAGCACTTCATTCTATTAGAAATAATACTCTGTTAACAGTTCTTAGCCTTTCTCTTTTTTAAAGACCTTTTCTGCCTTTTTTCGTCCTTACAAACAGAAATCATTCAGCATCTGTAGGGGTTATTTGAATGTTTCTTGGGAAAGCCAAATATACAGGAGCCATGCTTTTCTCTCTCGGAATTTCTCCAAGATCTTAGTTTCTCCATAATTGGCTGTTTTGTAGACCACATTCACTCTTGGCTCATTTGTAAGCATTTACTAATGGTCTGATTTTCATCAGTTCTGTGCTTTTGCCCTATACTAAGACAGGATCAAATCTATGATAAGCAGTCTCTAAAGTGTTTCTTTAAAAGTTACATAAATTTCCAGATCTGCACCACTTAATTACCTGTCTATAAGAATGTCAATGTATTCTCCCTCAATTCTTTTTCTCCATCACTCTGGCCAGACACCAGTTTCTGCCTGGAGATTAAGCTAAGTGTCTCTGGTTCAGACAACCTTGGCTTTAAACCCCAGCGTTCGGCAGTCTCCTGATGGCACTCTGGGCAGTGTGTTCATCTGTCAAAGAAGGATCATTTCACACTGAATATTGGGTTGCTGCAAGGGTTAATGCAAAAGTACAATTTAGGACTGGCACATGGGCACCCCATGCATGTTAGCTGAGGGCTTTAGCATTGCCCAGTGAGCATCTTCCACCCCATCCTGTTAAATTGTTTCAGCCAGTATTTGCTTATAACACAAGGTGGGAGGGAGCCGCAGCACAAGGGGGTCCCATACCAGCTCAGGTAGTATTAGGAGGCACCTAGCCGTTTGCTCCCGTGGTCCGTGCACTGCAGGTAGTCCAGGAAAAAAAAGGGGTTGGTTCTTTCCCGGTGACAAATGCTAAGAGAAAAAGAAACCGATTACAAGTGGCAATAAAGCAAGCAAGACAGATAGGTGGGAATAGAGTGTGTTTCTGGAGCTTTCCCCTGTAAGCCCAAAGTCGGTTTTCAGGTGTAGACCTGTTCCGTTCCTTAGCACTGTAGCCACGAAGTCATCTGTCCCTTAAAGCCACAGCAGTCTTAACATGTAAGCAAGACCCACGCACCAGGCAGGCACCGGGGAAAGCTGGGGCGTTTGCTACAGCTCCCACCTGTGGCCAGGTCATTGTGACGCAAATGCTATGGACACGTGGAACACCTGCGGGAGAGCGGGGGCGGGGTCACCCTGCGTGAATGAACGGAGCGGGGATACCCCAGGAAATGGGGGTCCAGGGAAGGCCCCAGGGAGCCGAGAGAGGGAAACCCACTCTCCTCGTCCCCGGGCCCGCTTCAGGCCAGGTGAGGCCTTCGCCCCGCTTCCTCCGGCCTCACAGGTGCTGCGGCCCCGCTGGGAGGGGTCCCGGGGAAGGAGGCGGCGGCGGGAGGGCGGCAGAGGCGCGGCCGCCGGCTCCCCCCGGCCGCTGCGCTGCGCTGCGCTGCGGCGCGCACCGACTGCTCCGGCTGCGATTCCGGCTGCCGGCGGCCGCCGCAGGAAGGGCCGGCTCCTGCGCTCCCCCGCCCCCTTCCCTGGCCTTCTGCGGACGCTGACGTCGGGTGAGGGAGCCGCAGGGACGCTCCGACCGCGGCCGCGAGGTTCCCGGGGGCCGGGGCTCCGAGGTACCTGCCCTCCGGGGCCGGGGCGGGGGCGCGCCGGGCGGGCTGCGGGCTGCAGCAGGGGACGCCCGGCGGTCGGGGCCGCCATCCAGGGCTGCCTCGCGTGTCCCCCGCGGCGGCGGCGGGTGACAGGCAGGTCGCCTTCGGCGGCCCCTTTCCCCCCGTGCGGGAACTGCGTCGGCTTCCCCTCCCCCGCCTCCCTCCGGCCTGGGCAGGTCTGGAGGATGCGCGCGCCATGAGAGCGTGCGTCAGCCCCGGGGGAGCGGGAGGGCGAGTCCCGGCTCCGGCCCCACCTCTGGCCCCGGCGCGGGGAGCACCCGCACCCACCCCACCCACCCACGCCGCGCTGAACCGCGCCGCAGCTCCCCGGCGGCTCAGGCCCCAGGACCCCCAGGTTTCCCCTGGCAGGGACTTGCGTCCAGGGCTGACTTGTTGACAAGTTCACCTGCCGCTGTGCCTCCGGGCCGGTCTTTGGCTAGGGCGGCAGGGAGCAGATGGGAACCGCTTGGTAACCGTCAGCGCCTGGAGGCCTGGGCTTGCTCCCCTCCCCTCGCGGGCCAGGTGCTCCCCAGTTCTGGGACCGCCTGGGGCGGGAGCCCCCCACCCCCAGCAGGCCAAGCTCCTGCAAACCTTGGCGCGCCCGTTTCCTTTGGGTGCTGCCGACTCCGCCTTTCCTGCCCTGGGGCTGTTGCAGCTCCTGCTTCCTCCAGAAAGCAGCATATCCTGCTATTATGTCTGCCTTTCCCCCAGCGGTTCTCCATTGAGCTTCCTCGGGGCCTTTTCCCTCGGATTCCCCCAAAGTCCTTCAGCTTCTCTTTGGGATCTTAGCAAGTGCCGCGGCCGGACGCTGGCGAGAAGCAGTGCCTGCGTGGCTGATAGTTGAGAAAGAGAATCATGTCTCTTCTTGTAGATAGGGTGAAGAAAATCGGCACAAGACAGGATTTTGTCAATGAACCCGGGTGATGGATGTAGGAAGTCGGTTCTGGTAATTGCAAAAATTGTCAGCCAGGGCTTGGAAAATGTATCACCAGCTGGTTTGAGAATGACCCTGAACAGAGGAGGGAAGGTCCTATAAATTCTGACTCATTGCAAACATGCTTCTGTCCATACATTTCAGTAACGACTCTATGGAATATTCTCAAATTGGATTCCAGTGAAATGGGAAATGCTTCATAGTTTGAAATCCGTGCTGCCTACTTTTTGTTACACACACAAGCGCACACATCCTAAAATTTCTTTGTAGTGAGTTTTCAAACTGAAGAATTTCGTTTTAGCTTTCAGTCTGTATTTTTGAAACATCCTGTGTAGGGAATATCATAGGAATGGAATCAATTCATAATCATTAATAGCTCAAGTATGGCTGTTTGGTTTTACACACATATTTAATTCAGGAGATGTATCTTAAATAGGTAAACAGTTACAGTGTTATTAAAGAAGAATCTTTTGAAAAGGTAGCAGTGAAGTTACAGAGTGCTCCTGGTAATTGGTTGAAAAACCGACCCTGGGTTGTCCACTCAGGGATCAGTGGACACTGAAGATGCCGGTAATAGCCTAGGTGGTGTGTTTTCTAGCCGCATCCCTTATTTTCGGTACACTGGAGTATCCATCTGACTGCTTTCTCTGGAACCTTCATTGCTGTGTGTATCCCACCCCATCAACCTTAAGAAAAGTATAGAATTTTTTTTTACTGAAACCCTATAATATTGCTGCAGTTTCAAAGAGTTTGACCCAACTGCACATCCTTCCGGGAACAAGCGGTTTTATCAGAGGTAGGGAGGGGTGGCGACTGTGAGGTGAGAGGTCGGTGTTGGTGTTGACTTTAGGGTCAGGGAGATCTCAGATCCAGGAGAGGTTGGGGAATCACGAAGAATTTTCTCTTTATTGACTGACCTGATGACTGGAAGCTAAGGTGGGTGGCAGTGTGTATGATCAGTGTACAGGACACCTGTGTCCTTTGTATTCTGCCTGCATCTTCAGACTTAGGAGACCCATGGTCAAGGATGCTGTCTGCATATGTGTGTCCATGGGAGAATTTTGATAGCTAATTAATGAGCCTTATCCTCACCCCTACAGATGCAACCTCAGCAGAGTTGTTAAACTCAGACTGGTAGTGGAGGTGCGTGCTGCCCATGTTGTCCTTGACTCCCATCCTTCTAGATTTTACACCACAGTCTTAGCCAGCACCATGCAGGAAAACAGAGCACATGCAGGCTTTGGGTCTGGAATGGAACAGGATCAGAACCCCAGCTGCAACAGCTAATTAGCCAGTTGCCCTCCAGCAAGTTCCTTAAGCTTTCCAAGTCACTATTTCATCACTTCCTTATTTATAGAACAGGGCTATGGTAGGCATCGTGGGGTTGTGGTAGGGATTAGAGACAGTATATGTGCCATGCTTTGCGCAGTGAACAGGACTCAAGTTGTTGCAAGAAATTTCATTCACATGCTGAGCATATGTGCTCTCTATACGTGCAAAGATGCCGCTGCTTTACTTGTGCTGGGGATGTGTTCCAACTTTGGTTTAGAGTAATGCAAGTGAATTTGTACCAATACCGAGAGCCTGGGCTTTATAGAAGATACTCTGCAGTTGTGGGGGTGCATCTGTGGTCCAGGAACAAAGCAAAGCTAATTTGTTCCAGTGGGGACAGCTCTCCCCCAAGCTCCTGCCACTCAGATGTGGTCCATGGGCCTGCAGCATTGGTTTCCCCTGGGAGCTTGTTAGACGTTCACCCGTCTCCAGGAGACCCCTGAATTCACATCTGCATTTCAACAAGTTCTCCACGTGCACCTTAACGTGTGAGAAGCATTGCTGTAACCTGGTATTTCTCAAACTTCAGTGCCCCAGAGGATCATCTGGGGACTTGTTAAGTGTGGATTCCCAGCCTGGCTTCCCCCATCTGCTGTTCCGCAACAGCTCTTGTAGCTCAGATGCCCTGACTCTGCGCTGTGTGAGAAACGCTGCTCTGAACTACTCAGCATCGTGCTCTCAAAGGAACTACTGTGTCTTCCTTAATAAAGCACTCCGGCAAATGTGATCCGATTTGGCATTCCACCCCCGTTAAGATAAATCGGTGTGATAATCCCACATCCATCAGATTAGAAAACTAAGATTACAGGCATGATTTGCCTTAGATAATGCATACAGTAGAACTGCTTTGGACTCAAATCTTAGTTGGCCATGCTTTTATTACTCTAACATCCAACAAATTAGCATGAGTTGTTTCTTTCTTTTTTTTTTTTTTTGCTTACTTGTGTGTTGTTGTTGGTTTTGTTTTTTGGCTGTAAGTTATTTTCACAAACATCAGTGACTCTCTGTGGGGTAAGAATGACCCTGCACTACAGGGTGTGCTATGCATGCTTCAGTCTGTATTTTTGAAACATCCTGTGTAGGGAATATCATAGGAATGGAATCAATTCATAATCATTAATAGCTCAAGTATGGCTGTTTGGTTTTACACACATATTTAATTCAGGAGATGTATCTTAAATAGGTAAACAGGGTCCTTGCTCAGAGGGCCCTACAGTTTGGCGCAGAAGACATTGGTTGGTATAGTTAGCCCCTTGCAGGAGAGTGAAGGGAGTGCAGTGGGGAAGTCAGGAGAGGGAGAGCCTGGGAGGAGAGGGATAGTGGGGCATATGTTGAATAGGGAGAGTCTCTCAGTAAGTTGTATGTTGGCCAGTTGGACAAAGGGGACAACATTTCTGGTGGAAAGTACCGCCTCAAAGTCTTGGAGTGACATAGCGTATTTACAGAAGCTGTAGCATTCTGAAATGGCCAGAAGGAATAGTTCTGTGTAACGTGTAGTAACGTTTTGGGGAAACAGAGCCACAAGGGGAAGGGGCTTGTGGGCCTCACTAAGCAGCTGTGAGGTGACAGAGATGCCTGCCTCCTGTGTGACTATAGGCCAGTGACTGCTGATAATTGATAACTGAGCCTCACTGTAAGGGGGGGGGGGTGATGTCATCTTGCGATGTGGTGAGGGCGAGCAGCTGTGTGAGTGACTCGTAAACCTCAGTGCTAGAGAAGGAGTGCTTCCTTTGTTCATGGTCACTGCTTGTCCCAGTGCAGACCTGGTGAGAGGCGGAGTTTATAACAAGCTGGCTCCGAATGAGAATTCTCAGTCCCTCCTGCTGAGCCTGAGGGCGTCATTCACCAGGTCTTTGACCAGATCAGACTAGTGAGTCTCTTTGTTGTGTGTGCATGGACCTGTGCTGTGCTAACTACTGGGAATCACATGAGGGAAGCCAGCCTGTAGGATGTTCCAGAGGAATGTCCAGCCTCATAAAGGGAGGAAGTGGGGTCAACTGACAGTCACCTTTCAGTGAGAGCGTGGAGGAGGTGGAGTCCCAGGGCGGAGAGAAGGCAGAGAAAAGGTGAGGTTTGCAGAGGAGAGGCTGTTGAGTTGAGCCTTACAATACCCATAGAAATACAGGTGAATCAGGCTTGAGAGTGGGAGGGAGGTCTCAACAGAGTGCCCACATGTCCAGAGTCCCAGGGTTAAAGGAGAGAGTATTGGCAAGTAGCCCTTGTGTCTGGAGCGTGGCGTACATGCCTGTCACTTATTCTCTGAGTAGCCTTGGGCAAGTCTGGACACCTGTGACTTGGGAGGGTTAACTGCATTAATCAGTGTATTGATTTCAGTTAGTGCTGGATAGATGTGGACATGGCAGAAGTGTTAGTAGACAACAGGAGACTATATTAGAATTATTTGCAGGGGTCAATTTTAATTCTAAATACATGGAATTAAAAGAAGGTGACTGAAAAAGTTAACTGAATGCAGTATAGTACTGTGGAGTGGGAAACACAATGTATATGTTCAGTGATGGATCCTTGAATGTGTAGGTCATAGTCATGGTTAACCCTAGGAGTCTCAAGTTGAGAGAAGAAAGGTCTTCGACTGATAGTGACGATATTTGTACAAGGAATGACTCCAAAGTATTACAACTGTTTACCAAAAGCACACACATTAAAATCTACTGAATGACTCACCATCATCATAACCGCTCACCCCAATTCTCATTCCTAGCACAGGGCATGGACACCATATTGGAAACCTAATAGCACCGAGACAAGAGCCAGCTCCTGTGAGATGCTCCTCTGGGGCAGAGCATGCTTAGCCGAAGACCGAGGAGCTAGTTGGGGAGGGGCTTGATAGCTCCCAGGAGTCCAACAACGATGCAGGTTTTGTTGTGCCTAGTGCCATCCAGGCAATGGGTTTGAGAGAGATGAGTTTTATAGAAACAGCTCACTAACCAAACTTCCATCCAGGAGCAGAGCAGAGTGGTTACAAACAGCAGCTCAGGGTCAACAGCAGACTGCAGTTTTCTAGTTGTTAACTTTGAGCAAGTTCCTCGTCATTTCTGAGCATTTTTTCTCATTTGCAGAATGGTCTGATATCACCTTCATAGTGCTGTGGAGATGAGAAGATGGGGTTGAGTGCCTGCTAATCACCCTTTGTCCATCACGTAGTTAGTAAATACCTAAGAGGCAGAGATGAACGTCAGGGTCCTTGCTCAGAGGGCCCTACAGTTTGGCGCAGGAGACACTGGTTGGTATAGTTAGCCCCTTGCAGGAGAGTGAAGGGCGTGCAGTGGGGAAGACAGGAGAGGGAGAGCCTGGAGGAGAGGGGATAGTGGGGCATATGTTGAATAGGGAGAGTCTCTCAGTAAGTTGTATGTTGGCCAGTTGGACAAAGGGGACAGCATTTCTGGTGGAAAGTACCGCCTCAAAGTCTTGGAGTGATGTAGCGTATTTACAGAAGCTGTAGCATTCTGAAATGGCCAGAAGGAATAGTTCTGTGTAACGTGTAGTAACGTTTTGGGGGAACGGAGTCACAAGGGGAAGGGGCTGGTGGGCTTCGCTAAGCAGCTGTGGGCTGGCAGAGATGCCACCTGCTTGGATCGAGGCGAGAGAATCCTGCAGCAGCCCACGTAGTGGAGTTTCTGTAGTGGCAAGAGAAAGCAATCAGAGCATGTTAAGTAGGAGAGTAGGATGATTTGATTTGCATTTTATGGTAAGAGTTCAGACCATGGTAGAAAAGATAGGGTAGACACAGGGGTCATGTTACCTCTTGTGGCCTCGACTAACTGCTTTTTAGGAGTTGGAAGACAGAGCACTTGAATTCAGGCTGTAAAGGGTAAGAGTGAGGTCCAGCTTACACCTTAGGCCTCTCGCTGGCTTTAGTGCTGGTCATTGGCATAGGGGCTGCAGAAAGAAGAACCATTTAGGAGTGGAGATGGAGAGTTGTTTAGTTTTAGCTGTGTTGAATTTGAGGTGCCTGTGGGACATCCAGGTGAAGAGCACAGTTGGGGATGGAAGTACGGGTCCAGCGTTGGGTGGAGGTGTTAGTGTTGGCGGCTGATGTTGTCCAACAGGTGGCTGATCCCATGGAACCTCATGGAATCACCCGAAGAGAGCAGGTGAGCGGTGCTAGAAAGTGGCCAAAAGTGAAACTTGCAGATCTCTCATATCTGAGATGTGGGTGCAGAGAAGGAAGAGCTAATGAAGAGACCTGGAGTGTGGAGAGAGCTTCTCGGGACACCAAGGACAGGGAGACCTCAGGAAGGAAGCGAGCACAGTCAACATTCCACAGAGTGAACACTTAGATTGGATCCACAGGCAGAGGTTTTCTCTGGGATGGGAGAGAAAGTACCCGGACGGAGGGGCTTGGGAGAACTGACCGCACTGAGAAGGAAGAGAGTGGTAATGAGACGGGGAAAGAGGCCGAGGAATCTGGGCTGAGTGCAGAGGGCAAGGGAAGCCAATTAACATTAACAAAAGGAGGATAATGGAGGGACTGGCGTGGATGGGGCTGACCTGTGGGGACCTTCTGAGGAGACGGTGGTGATGGTCATGGTGTTGGAGAGATCCAAAGAAGTGAGCTGCAGTGAATGGGGAGTGGAAGCCGTGGGGAGAAGGTGCCCAGTGCAGTGCCAGGGCCACGCTTGCCCACAGTACATGAGAAGGGAGATTGTGCAGGATCGAGCGTCCTCACCCCTATGCCATCTCTTCAGTGTTGCCATTTGCAGCCCTGGCATCATTGTCAAGGAGGTAAATGTTGCATCTGTGCCAAACCACTCCTTCCTCTCTGTTTCCTGCTTCTGTCTGCTCTGCCCCCTTGACCCGGAGCTCAG